GTCTCAGGTTTTTTTTTTGTTTTTTTTTTTTGTCCTGAAGATGGTCTTATAAGAATTGAAAACAGGTGAGGATGGGGAAAGAAAAGAGGAGGAAAAAAGAGGAAAAAGAAGATGAGAAAAGAGTGTATATATGCACAAGTACAAAGAGGCAGAGACAAAAATAAGGACAAAAAAAGAAAAAGAAAATGTAAGTGACAGGATATAAAAATGCTCCCAGATATTGTCTTAATGGCTCCAAGTACCAGAGAAGGGGAGCTCATACAGGAGTGACCCCATACCCCAGATTTCCTGGAAGAGTTTGATTCAGTGAGATTTCTTTGTTTTCAGTGAAAGTGGTGCATTCGATGAGTACTGGAAGACCATTTAATTTTTATGCCTTGTAAGAACTTTCACCTAAACAAAAACAAAACTCATAAGAAAGAATCCTATGTTAGACTGTCATTTTTGGTTCTGAAAGTATGTAAACACAGGGATGTCGGGATGGTAGCTGAAGTGGCCACTGGGCATTGTGAATTTTTTTTTTTTTTTTTTGGTATGACAAAACCCGAGTCGATGAATGTCCAGGATATTTCACCAGATAAGGGAAATGCTAACAATAATGCCAAACGAACAAAATCTTTGGACAGAAATTTGCCTCCATGGTTACTATCATTGCCTCCTCTTTTCAAAATAGGTAGGTGTCCTCACCACTTTGAACTAACTTCCTTCTCCAGACTGGCTACTTCTCTCTGCTGAGATGACCATAGTTAACGTTCCAGGAGTGATTGCACCCTAGAGGATAAATCAATAAGGGGCGATCAAACCTTAGAAAATAAACCAATACACAGATGTCACATTCATGCTCAGGGCTCAATAATTCCAAAGGGACTAGCCACATAGGCAGTAGCAGTTCCTAAAAATGACTCTAAATTATCTCGAGAGAATGCAAAGGCTCTTTTCTTCCCTACAGCCTCGGGGTGATGGGAGGATGCTGACCTTGAGTAGCAAGTTGGCTGCAGGGGGCAGCCATAATTCACAAGCAGAGGCCGGCAAGTCACAAGCCTCAAAGGTGCTCTCTCATCTCAGTAAGGCCACATGACACCAGTATGTCATTTCTGTCTTTCTCCCCAAACCCATGCATTTTAGCTATAGCTATGGGGTTAGAGGGCACAGGGATGAGGGACCTGCCACCCACAAAGGAGAACCTAGGGGTTGAGGTAAAGTTGGATGAAGTCAGCCTGGAATTTTCTTTGGCTCCTAAGTACCACATATCAGTTTAAGGGTTTGTTATAGAAGTGAGAAAAAGAATTTTATTTCAGCACCAAATCAACATGGTTTGTGTGACTTAAAAAAAAAAATAAATGAAAAAAACTGGTCCAGGAAGTAACAGTGATAATGAACATCAGTGTGGTTATAAAGCACAAGCAGAAATTTCCAAAAGGGCTGCCTGAAATTACTCACTACAAACAAGTGGATCTTTGGGCCTCTCACGAGGTGACGTGGGTAGTGTCTAGTCCTCTCTGAAAGAAATGAAGCTTCAAACCTTTCTATTTTGGAAGGGTCATGGGTTCTCGTGAGAACATTGGAGAAGTTCTAGATCTGCACTGTCCCATCGGTAGCCACTGGCCATGTGTGGCTCTTGAGCACTTGAAGAGTGGCTAGTCCCAACTGAGATGTGCTGTGAGTATCATAGACACAATGGATTTAGAAGATAGTACAAAAAATTAAAATATCTCATTGGTACTTTTTACCTTAATTACATGTTGAAAAGTCATATTGGGTTACGTCAAATATATTCTTTTCCTGTTTTTACTTTTTCAAATGTGGCTACTAGAAAATGAAAAATGGTACGTGTGACTTGCATTGTATTTCTCTTGGACAGTGCACCTGGTCTGGACCCTTGCTACAGGAAAAACATCTGCAAATACATATACAGTGTGCATCTATTTCCAGAAGGTCTCCTCCTTTGACATTCATCTTTAGATCATTGGGTCCCCAGGTCAGAGTCTGATTTGGGGGAGGTGGTAAAGAAGGCTATGGGTAAAGGTTGTTTCTCTTTCTTTTGAACACTTCTATGCTGGTTAAACTTTATTTTCTATATTTTAAAAATATCAAAGCCACAAAAACACAACAAAACAAAATACTCTGAGAAAGAAACCTTTGGTAATGGAGACTCCCATAGGCTCATGGGGACTCTTGGGGTCAGATCGACTGGCCTCAGACCTCTTAGACCCCTCATCATCTACACAGCAGTCTACAGAAACTGCTGTGTCCAGGGTCTGCATATGCAGTCAATTACTGATTTACATGGTCACTGGCAAGAAGTGAAGACACTCATCTAAAAGTATGCAATCCAAAAGACATTTTTCCCCTGGGAACGGAATACAATGTACGTATGTGTTTGTGGTTCAGCTGTCCTTCTAATTCCACTGAAATTATACTCAAATTTGTTTTGCATAAAGAGGACTGATGGAGTGAGTAGCACAGGCCTATGCTGATCAAGGAAAAATAACCGACATCAAGAACTTCACATGGCAATCTAGGATCTGAAGATATCTCAAGATTGCAAACTCTGGTGAGCAACAGCTCCAAAACAAGGCAAACCGAGCCAACTCTTACTTGGACTTTGAACTTCAGTTATTTAGATCTTCATTCTCAGTAACAGAGGAGTGCAAATTTCAAAGGCTGTTAGGACATGTCAGGTCACTGCCCCCCAGTACTATGAAGCCTGCTTGCTACATGTCATGGCTATCTGCCCTCCACCCACGCAAAAAAAGGGCATGCCCCTGGTAAGATGCCCATCAGTGGTTCGAAAACCAGGAAGAGCCTTGGGACTCATGCTGTTCAACCCTTCAAAAGGAGAGGTTGAGGTTTTAGAGCACAACCAGACTGTGTGTTTGAATGCATTATTAGTGTAATGAGGTGGAAAAGCCCTCACCAAAGATGTAAATACAACCACTGAGAAAAGCTTTTTTTATATCGATAGTTAATCTGACCAACTGCATGGCCTTCACCGATGGCTATGACAGAAGGTGAGCCATTGGATTGGCCAGAGAAATTATTCCTTCCCGTCGTCATCCCTGCATCTGGATGATCTGAATGTATTACAAAACAGCCCACTGAAAAAATACCGCATTTCTGACATAGTTATGAAAAAAAAAAACGAATAAAAACATAGTTTTAAAAAAACTCTGGTAGGTTTTAGTATTCATTTGATACTTCTTTTCCTGGCCCCCCTACTTTTTCTTTCAGTCAGGATAAGGTTGATTTAGCAAAGTTCTCTGCTGTACTTCTGGGTTCAAATGATCTATCAACTTACACCTCATTCCCAGGCATTGCCACACTCGGGGAGCCCTGGGAAGCAACCTACTGAGGATCCATCTAAATCCTTCCATGTGATCTGGTGAGAATTAATAGAAGTGTGTCGGAATTAACGTAAAACCTGGTGCTGCTGCAGCTCCGCTATTGCCACTGGATTAAAAAAGATCAGATTATCCTACTTCACCTGCAGAACCCACTTACTGAGGTAACAAAAAGCTATTCTAGCCCTGGGGAAACGAATGCAACAGGCTTTTTTTTTCCAGAGGGAAGAACACATGGGATCTCTTTTTAATAGGCTTGCCGCCCCAGACACAAGCACTCGAGTCACCAAAAATTGGTGTTAATTCCCAGGAGGGAACTTCTGAGTTTGGAGTCTGAACCCCTGAAACCCTAAAACTCACATGAGTTGAGCTCCCGACTCGGGTTGCAGGGGCCCCCCCACATTGCCTGGCAAGTGGAAGCCAGCGTGAAGGAGCTTACCAGAACGGGCAGAGGCCTCAGCAGATACCGAGCTTGGTGTTGGGGTCTCTGATAGCCGGAATTTTTAAGACCCACTTAGAGGAACTTAGATTCTTCAGGAAAGCTGACCTTGGACTGTTTCCGGGTGCTGAGGCACTTCTCAAAGCCATGCACATTCATGCTCGGAGGCCGTGACCATGGATTTCAGAGGTGGGATACAGACTGAACCCAGCAGGATCTGCTGCTTCTAAACAGAACTCTACAAAAGCCGGAGTGGATCAAAGGAGAAACAAAGAGCAGATGTGAAGTCGACTACACACACAGTCTTTGAAAGAAATAGCCAAAGAAATCGGACAGGATTCCCAAACAAGAACAATCAAACCTGGAAGAACGTGAAATGAAACTAAGAAACCCTAAGGGTGTCCTTTCAGCCTGTTTTAGGAGCTTGTGAGGTGTATGTCGACGAGGACATAGGAGAGGAAACCAGCTTTCAGCTTGCAAGCTGCCAGGGCCACGGGCTGCTGTCGAGATGGAGAAACTGCATCCTGATTCCCGAGACCTTGAGTTCTGCTTTTTGTTACCATTCTTGAACGGAGCGCCCTGGAGTTGCCGAGGTGTTCTGGAGGTGTGTGTGCCCGGGTCAAGTTTTGGAGCACTCCTCCCTGCCTTCCCCTTGGGTCCTACTATCTCTTCGTTCTTCATCTACCATTTCAAGATTTCACCTCTTCGCAGTCTTGGTCAGTGGAAAGTTCTACGTCAGACAGTCCAACCTCCATTGCCATAATCAGTGAGATGTCAGAATCGCTGCTGACAGCTGGCTCCTGATCACCTGGAGGAGAAAGCAAAGTTCATGGTGAAACTGGAAGGACTGTGGCATGGCAAGACCCTCTCTGTCTCGCTCATAAAAATAATATTGGGTTGGGACCAGTAGTTAGCATAATGGCTATGTCGTTGGACTCCCATGTAGTTGATTGTGGTTCGAGTCCTAGACCTGGTGGCTTAAAACTCACGCTGGGCACGTGTGCATGCATACCCAAGATCCCGAGAGGAGAATGGAAGAGAAGGGGTTGTGGTGTGGCCATCCTCCCTGGGGGTGATTTCTTGCTTTCTGTCTCTCTCTTTCTGGTGAGCGCACATGCCATATAGGAAAACCCTCTAAAAAAGAAAAAAGTAAATAACATTGGGTCATCAGAAAAGTCATGACATGACTTTCTGTTTTTTTATACAAAGATGTGTTAGAGTTAGAGCCAGCTATCATAATGGTTTAGGTGCTGGACTCCTATGTGGTCCACCGCAATTTGAGTTCTGGAACTGGTGGCTTGAAGCTCACACTGGGCACATGTGCATACGTGCCCAAAATACTGAGAGGAAAATGGAGGAGAAGGGATTGTGGATTGTGGCGTGGCCATCCTCCTGGGGAGGGGGGTGGGGTGATTTCTTGCTTTTTGTCTCTCTGGCAAGTACACATGTCCTATAGCAAAAATCTCTCAGCTGTGTCATGACTTTTCCGATGACCCAATACATTCAAAGCTGGCTACACATGTACAGACACTATTATGCAAGTGTGTATGAGTGTGAAAAGTGCACACCCCTCCTTTTCATTTATCTCGCCTTTAGAACCATCTGGTGCCTTCAGTCCTTGACCTTTGGGGAATGCTCTATGCAGGTTGGGATGGTTCCTCCTTTCCCCACGGCTGCTTTGTACTCATTTTCTGAGCTTGGCAATGGCTTACAGTTGGGCATGCTGTGTCCCATGCCACATACTGACCTGTGTGTGTTTGGAGATTGGTTGTTTCAATTTGATATTTCTTTAAAGTCCAAGAGAAGGTATTAGAAAAATTACTTTGTAAAAACTCTCATTAGGATCTCATCTCACACTGTACCCCTGCAAAAACTCTGGATAGGTTTGAAAAAAAAAAACTTTGTAAACCAAAGAGACTAATAAACTAGAAGAAAATATATCATTTAAGTATATATCAAAGTAGGAAGATATATCAATATATCTAAGTAGGGCAAGAAATTGTATATAGAAAAGTCATTGAACAATTCACAGAAGATTCATAAATGCATAGTTTAAACAATGTTAAAACATGTACCATAAAATCAAAAGAAACACACCACACAGGAATTTTCATGCAGTTCACAAAGAGTTGTATACTTAACATACAGAAAACATTTAACTCAATAAGAAAAACAGTCCAGGGGCCAGCAGGTGACATGGTGGTTAAGGTGTTGGATCTCCCACATGGCCAACTGCGATTTGACTCCTTGGACCTGGCAGTTTGCTCTTCCTCCCTCCTTCCCTCCCTCTCTGTCTGTCTCCTTCTGGTGGGTGCATGAACCCTATAGCAAATTAAAAAATAATAATACATAAAATTAAATAATTAAAGATAAAAATAGCCCAACAGAAAAATAGGCTAAAGGTTACCATTATTCAATGCACAGAAGAATGTAATATAAATGACTAATAAATGCAAAGAGCAGTTGTGGCACAGATGGGAGGGTGCCTCCGTGTGATGCTGGAGCCCTATGGGGACCCAGGTTCGGATCCCAGACTAGCTTAACATACCAGGTCCAAGCAGTGCACCCATAATCCTGGCTAGATGTGGGACTGGGTGGGAGGATTGTGGCCCAGTGAGACTACCAGGGTGCCCATCTCTGTGTGTCTTTCTCTGTATCATAATTAATTAAACGTTAAGGTAAAAATGATATTTTTGTCTATGCTACCTTCGGGTTTTTTTTTTTAATTTTTATATTACCGTTAAAGGTACACTGAGGTAGGTAGATTGATATGCTACATGTAGAAATGTGAAATTTTTACCCTGTAATTTTTATCTCCAGAATGTATTATAGACAAATCATCAGAAATGCAAAAATGTTCATTTGAATTTTATTTATAGCACCAACATGTTGGAAGTAACTTACAGCTCAACAATAGAGAATATTGAATAAACTGCATTACTGCTAAAACGGTTACAAGCTTCTAACCATTAAAGTGAAGTTCCCGGAGCGTTTGTATTAACGTGAGAAAGTGCCCACAGGATACGATTAAGTGAAAACAGAAGTACTGGAAGGTGTACGCGCAGTGAGGGTCACAGAGAAAGTGAACTTAAAGCAAGGAAACCCAAAATGCTGAGTTGTCGCTACTTTGGGATTTTAGGGTTTTTTTCCTTTTTTTTTTTCAGCTCTACCCTCATATTCTACAGCAAACCTACATCCCTCAGTCATTGAAGACAGGTTTAAGTTCCCGTGACATGCTAAGTATTGAGCTGGATGCTGGGTACAGGTGACCAAGATGACCCCTGTCCTTAAGAAGCTTACTGTCTTTAAAGCTTATGGTCTCTAAATCTCATTTGAAAATGAGGGTTCTACTCAGTAAAGGGGCTACTTTCTTTTTCTTCTTCTTTCCCCTCCCTTTCTCCCTTTTCTTCTTCTTCTTCTTTTTTTTTTTCTGAGAGATTTTGCTATAGAGTATGTGTGCTTGTTGGAGAGAGAGAGAGAAAATAAGAAATCACTTTTTTTTAAGAGAGATTTTTGTTATAGGGCACCTGTGCTTGCTAGAGAGAGAGAGAGAGACAGCAGGCTGTGTCACCAATCTCCAAACACACACTGTGTGTTTGGAGATTGGTTGTTTCAATTTGATATTTCTTTAAAGTCCAAGAGAAGGTATTAGAAAAATTACTTTGTAAAAACTCTCATTAGGATCTCATCTCACACTGTACCCCTGCAAAAACTCTGGATAGGTTTGTAAACCAAAGAGACTAATAAACTAGAAGAAAATATATCATTTAAGTATATATCAAAGTAGGAAGATATATCAATATATCTAAGTAGGGCAAGAAATTGTATATAGAAAAGTCATTGAACAATTCACAGAAGATTCATAAATGCATAGTTTAAACAATGTTAAAACATGTACCATAAAATCAAAAGAAACACACCACACAGGAATTTTCATGCAGTTCACAAAGAGTTGTATACTTAACATACAGAAAACATTTAACTCAATAAGAAAAACAGTCCAGGGGCCAGCAGGTGACATGGTGGTTAAGGTGTTGGATCTCCCACATGGCCAACTGCGATTTGACTCCTTGGACCTGGCAGTTTGCTCTTCCTCCCTCCTTCCCTCCCTCTCTGTCTGTCTCCTTCTGGTGGGTGCATGAACCCTATAGCAAATTAAAAAATAATAATACATAAAATTAAATAATTAAAGATAAAAATAGCCCAACAGAAAAATAGGCTAAAGGTTACCATTATTCAATGCACAGAAGAATGTAATATAAATGACTAATAAATGCAAAGAGCAGTTGTGGCACAGATGGGAGGGTGCCTCCGTGTGATGCTGGAGCCCTATGGGGACCCAGGTTCGGATCCCAGACTAGCTTAACATACCAGGTCCAAGCAGTGCACCCATAATCCTGGCTAGATGTGGGACTGGGTGGGAGGATTGTGGCCCAGTGAGACTACCAGGGTGCCCATCTCTGTGTGTCTTTCTCTGTATCATAATTAATTAAACGTTAAGGTAAAAATGATATTTTTGTCTATGCTACCTTCGGGTTTTTTTTTTTAATTTTTATATTACCGTTAAAGGTACACTGAGGTAGGTAGATTGATATGCTACATGTAGAAATGTGAAATTTTTACCCTGTAATTTTTATCTCCAGAATGTATTATAGACAAATCATCAGAAATGCAAAAATGTTCATTTGAATTTTATTTATAGCACCAACATGTTGGAAGTAACTTACAGCTCAACAATAGAGAATATTGAATAAACTGCATTACTGCTAAAACGGTTACAAGCTTCTAACCATTAAAGTGAAGTTCCCGGAGCGTTTGTATTAACGTGAGAAAGTGCCCACAGGATACGATTAAGTGAAAACAGAAGTACTGGAAGGTGTACGCGCAGTGAGGGTCACAGAGAAAGTGAACTTAAAGCAAGGAAACCCAAAATGCTGAGTTGTCGCTACTTTGGGATTTTAGGGTTTTTTTCCTTTTTTTTTTTCAGCTCTACCCTCATATTCTACAGCAAACCTACATCCCTCAGTCATTGAAGACAGGTTTAAGTTCCCGTGACATGCTAAGTATTGAGCTGGATGCTGGGTACAGGTGACCAAGATGACCCCTGTCCTTAAGAAGCTTACTGTCTTTAAAGCTTATGGTCTCTAAATCTCATTTGAAAATGAGGGTTCTACTCAGTAAAGGGGCTACTTTCTTTTTCTTCTTCTTTCCCCTCCCTTTCTCCCTTTTCTTCTTCTTCTTCTTTTTTTTTTTCTGAGAGATTTTGCTATAGAGTATGTGTGCTTGTTGGAGAGAGAGAGAGAAAATAAGAAATCACTTTTTTTTAAGAGAGATTTTTGTTATAGGGCACCTGTGCTTGCTAGAGAGAGAGAGAGAGACAGCAGAAAGCGAGAAGTCATCCCCGGGGGGATGGCCATGCTACAATCCCCTCTCCTCCATTCTCCTCTTGGGATTTTGGGTACGCACTCACATGTACCTGGCGTGAGTTTTAAGCCACTAGGTCTGGGACTTGAACTGCAGTTGGCTATATGGGAGTCCAGCAACATAACCATTATACACCATCTGCTGGTCCCAAGAAGTCACTTTTTTGATTGCCATGCTGCAGTCTCTTCTACTCCACTCTCCTCTTGGGATTTTGGGCATGGACGCACGTGTCTGGTGTGTGTTTCAAGCCACTGGATCTGGGACTTTAACCATGGTCGGCCATATGGGAGTGCAACACCTTAACCACTATATCACTCTCTGGTCCCACTTTTCTTCCTTTTCCTTATGGCTCATCAATCAGTTCAGCTCATAGGAAGCTGAGGC